AGAAGACTTAAGATCTACTCTATTAGCAAATTTCAGGTATACAATACAGCATTATTAACTATAACCACCATGCTGTACATTAGATTATCAGAACTTATGTTGTAATTCAAAGTTATTCATTGGTTTAAAAAAAAAAACCAGAGGGGCATCTCCTGCATCATTCTTTTCATAATTGCATTTCTTCTTAAGTTCGTATTTATTCCACAATCTTTCTGCTCTGGTGACTTACAGTAGCATTAGATTCTGACAGGTGTCACCCCAGAACTCCCTCCCTCCTTATTTCTATTTGTATTTAGCGGTGGCTTGTGAAGGTAATGGGGGTGATGAGAGGTTGGACAGGTGTAGGCAATTGAGGGGTGCATTGCTTGTAGAGAATTTCCAAACGATAGTAAAACTAAGTTGGTCTGCTTTTTGCTATCACCATGCAGGTGCAGTACTGAACAATGGCAGTACAACATACTCATCTTCACAGGGTGGACAGTTCCTACTGTGTTCCCCCACCCCTTTATGCTGCAGCCCTTTGGTAAAGGGAGCTTAAATTCTTTTGGAAATGGAGACGGTATAGACCTCTCTGTCCACTGTGATTCTGTTAGAAATCTAATAGCCTTTTCTTTCTTTTTTTTGCGTGTGTGCATTTAGGCAAGGAAACAGTTACTGTTCTTCCAGGAGCCTCTTTTTTCTCCAGTGATGAATCATTTGCAATGATTAGAGGGTACGTAATAACAGAGCCCCTCGTGTTTCACACGGTGTGGAATGAGCTGAGTCATCCCCTGAGTGTTAACAAGACTGAAGCGCGGCCAAATGTCCCAGCCAGAAAACTATCATGGGCTTGTTCGGCTGCAAGGAGATGTGAAATTATTCACAGTGAATGTTGAACATTGAATATCCAGCCCACTATTATGAAAAGAACCCCCCAATGGAATATATATCTTTGTACCAACTAGACTGAAGTAAACATTTCTAAGGTCCTTTCTGAGGATCCTACCATTTTCTTCAAACTGTGTTCATTTTCTAGCTAGTGTTTGTCTTCA